TTACCATAAACACCACGGTACACTTGTTGTCGGTTCTGGTGTTTCAGTTTCTTTTTTGTTTTTAAAACCATCTAAGTTGCAGTAGATCTTATTACTATCTTCGAGGTGACAGTTTATTAGACCAATGAATGAAGTAATAAATTCAATGATAAGCGTAGAGGAGCGCAAGGGCCGGATACAGTAGGCGTTGAAACTATAATTTTAATCGCGATTAGGTAACCAGAAAATGACGAATGCTGCTCTCTATGACAAATTCAAAATTATTACCTTACTCTTCCACTGAAGGCCTCAGTACGATCGGAGTGGGTGTCTTGGGTTGTAGCTGATCACCCGTCCCTTGAGTCCCATGAAATGCTCGTATACGACCAAGCCTCTCCCACAGCTTTTGGTGAGGAAGCTCTACCTGCTGCCTTTTTGTGGCGCGAGAGTTTTCCCACCAAAGTGAGAGAACGAAAATCCAGCAACCGGGGATATAACCGGGTTGATGAACCACTGACAATGCACGTAAGAGAGTTGGCTAAAATCTCTGAATCGAAACCAACCAAGAGGAGACTTACGAACCACACACATTCACACCTTGATTGTGGTAGTCCTCATCAACTAGATTGGATATTGAGGTGTATTGGGCAACTTGGACGTTTGATCCCATCCAGGGGGGGGNGGGGGGTGTATGGTCCAGCTCTCAATGGGTTGCATTTTTCACACTTTGACTAGCCAAAGGCCCCGGTTGTCAAGTCCTCAAGAAAATCCCCCCCCCCGCCTTGGCCTGGGCAACATGGCATTATTCCGCCCACAAAAATCTTCGTGGAGCACTTTCCATTTTTATAAAGATTATTGTATGGTGATTTGTTTGGTACACAGTCTATATTCAGACACGTGTGAAAATAAAACACAACCCTAATCTTTGGCACTGCCAAGTGATACTCAGCAACGTTAAAACCAATAATACCTTAAAGGCAACACTTTTTTCCAGTTATTTAGGTATTATTATTATTATTATTATTATTCAATGAGAATGATTTTTGTCCATTTTCGAGTCCACACAGATTATTAAAGTCTGAGGCAAAGATATAAAACTACGATTGCAATAAGTACGAAAAATGAAGAGGATCACAATTACATTGTTGTCATCCTTCAGTAGGAATGTATTGGAAATGCTTAGCTGAGGTGAGTGTTCCAGTTAGATTCAGTGTAAATTGTTTGAGGGTGGGCTGAGGATGGGGGGGGGGGGGGAGCACAGTAGGTAGATATATGGAACAAGATCTAGATGAAACCGTGCCCGTGTTTAAGAAGTCTGATTTATGAGAGGGGAAAGGGGACATGTGGTATCTTTTATTCATCCATCCTTCATGACCGAACTAAACCAATTATAGGAGGCCCTGAAGTATCTTAGGAGGCGTGTTTTTTTCTTTTTTCTTTCGGTTGTCTATTTGGATGAAGGAACAGACGGAAGAATTATAATGATGTAAGCAGTAGCAATTCAAAGGGAAAAAAGTAAGGGAGACTAATTTTCCGAAGAAACTGAGTAGACGAACGAGCGTCACTCTTTATGTTACTCAGTCATTTATGAATAATTCACAATATCTAGAAAAAATCTTATTATCCCAAACAAATAATCAAACAACCCAGTTACGTGAACTGGGGAAATGAGACCACTACTATGATAAATTAAAAGTAGGAACCTGGTTGCTTATGAAGCGCTCACAAATAGGTAATCTGATCGGTAGGAGTGAAAGTATACAGGTAAAACCCAACTTCCAAACACATTGTGATCGACTTACTCTTTTCACTTTTTCTTCTTCATGTAAGATCTTTACACCAGCAGGGGTGTTCCCAGTGTGTTGAACCGGGACACAGTCGTGTTGATCTCTGTCGAACTTGGTTTTGTCCTCTGCTGGGCGTTTCTTCAATCCTTCTGAACAATCGGGTCTTCGAACAGGCTTCAGAGATGTACTGGTTAGCGGACCGATCGGATTACCTGTTGCTGGCGTTTTCTGTCTGCGTTTATTCACATTCAGCTTGTTGCGGTAGTCGCTTTTGGCCAAACGGTCTCCATCAATTGGGTAGCGATCCAAATGCGAAGCATTCAAAGCTACTGGTGTATCCGCTGGCAAATCGCATGGTTTTTCAGACAATTTTGGAATGGATTGATAACTACGACGTCTCCGAGGTAACGGAGTCGGTTTCAATCCTTGGAACTGTGCGGTTTGTGGAGATTTTTCCTCTGCGGCACTTATTATTATCCGGTTTGCAGCTGCCGGAGTACCAGTGGATGGCGATTCACCATCGGTGAAATTCTTCACTGTCTGTTCCAAACGTGAGCGAGCTTTGTCCAGTTTGGATGTATTCGTTCCTAGATTGGCTAAGGTATTCTGCCGTGGTACGCGAAGAAAAGTGTGATGATCGGTAGACTGTGATAACATCAGGTTGTTGGAAGACAGCCGCACAAATGAAGCCGAGTGTTGCGTAGCTTGCATCGAGGTCGCATTGGTGTTGTGGTTGCCAGTACGTGTGCATTGCTTTGACAGAGAATCTTTGGGATGAACATAAATTTGGTTATCGTGTGGCTTTGCTTGTACGGATAACGAACGATACTGGTGATGAGCTAGGGATTTTGGATCCGTTCCACAAGTGTCTACAGTAAGTTTTCCATGGGACATCTTGCATTCCATCTGTTGTTTTGCTAACAAGTGTTGTATGATAGCATGAATTTTCGCCCTGGGGTTGTTGGAAGTTGTGGTCTCTGTGACCCGATTGGTCAATCTTGGGGTCCCACTTGTATCCGATAATTCTCCGGTCAAGTTTTGAGAATTCATTCCCACCTCAACAACAGCTGAAGATGTGGAAGCAACAAATGTCTGCCCCATTTTAGACGTTACCCGTCGATCGTGCACCAATGCTTTGCATTCCAAGATATGCGAGCTGTCCTTTATTTTCGTGTCAGATACATTCTCCAGGGCTTTATCCCAAAGCAATTCTGGGATTTTGGATGTTCCATTTGAAATAGGAGTCACAAACAAGATATAAAACAAAGAGAATCCAAATGATTTCAAACTTTTCATATGATGCAACATTCCATTTACAACTTTTTGCACCTCACTAATGTCACTCATGCCAATTCAAGTGATTGTGAACTAGGCGTACATGCTGTGAAGTAAAATAGGTCAGGCAAATACAAATCTTTGGGGGGGGGGTGTTGGTATTCGTGAACTCTAACTCTAACTCTAACTCTAAATTTAGATGCAACAGCACACTTCAAATCTGAAATACATGAAAGTTAGTACAAAATTAAACGTTTACAGTACAGTGCTACATCTTGGAGTCTCAGAACAACGAAGTAGCGAAACTGTTATTAAATATTCCTTAATAAACTATTTCTCTGTGACCTTGAACTTCCCAATTATTTCACACACAAGTAATATGCAGTCATTTTTGTTAGTCAATTCCGAGATAAACGACAAAATAGAAGAGTTGAAAGATGATGTTCAACAGCTTCCTAATCCATACGGTATTGCCATTATCTCCCCGTCTGTCATCAAAATCATTAGTGCCTTATGCTAAAAGAATATTGCATTTTCTCTGAGGTACTACAAAGCATGTGTGTGCATCTGTATCCAATATGAGAATTTTACAGATTTTATTCGTACACAATTCTATGTATGAAGATAGTTGGCAACACTTATAACTACGTCACATGTGAGTCCGAACCCTGAAGATCAATTCGAGAGCTACATCTAAGTGGAAATTTTCTCTTCCGTTTTGATCTGATGAATATCGAAACGATTCTGTTCGGCTAACATCTTGTGTATCACATATCTGTCCATGTTATTTTTTACGCAATACTCAGCAACACTTAACTAGTAAGCCATTCACACACAAAAACCCAGTGTGTATGCACTCAGTTCGTTGGAGAGAAAATGCAAACATAATGATTATCGTTATGGGGTATAAGAACATTACGATTTTAAATGGCCCCTTCCCCCTTCCTGAAGGCTATATCTATTCAGTAGAAGTAAAATTAAAAAGAAAACCGGAATAACCTTTCTTTTCAAGCCAAAACTAATACCATGAGAATGAGTATCTTTTTGGATAGTACCCCTCTGTGAATAATTAATGATTAAATAATAATAATAATCTGGATTAATTTTATTTGCTATGCAGAAATATTACAATCAAATTTTGAGAAACGGATCTCGGCCGAGTAATGGCTGCCGAACAACAAATAGGAGCTTAGGGGCAACGATGATGGACCTCTCACCCACAAATTATTGAAAGATCGATGAATGGTCAATACCACTCGACTACGGCTGTACGACAATGTACAAATGATAACGTACCCGGTAGTTCTTTGGATTCCGTTTGAACACCTTTTTGTGTGACTGGTTTGTTTGCCGATCCACTTTCACTGTTCCATAAGGACGGTGTAGATGAAGCGGAAGATGCCTCAGATTGTTCTCTGTTCTGTTCGTCCTTCCCGACGTTGTTGGATAGTTGTTGACCACCTGCTTCATCCTTGACATCCACATACACCACGGCGGATATACCTGCAGGTTTGTGCTTTACACTCTGATTGGTAAATGATTGGTTTTTGATCTCGGTGAATATTTCTGTCATAGACCCATGTCGCTTTCTCTGTGAATCCTCCAAATCTTCGCTGCCTAAATCACCTGCGATGACCCGGTCACTTCGTCGTACACTAACCGTCTTTGTGAGCTGCGGAAGTGTATGTTGTGATCGATTCACATTTCGCATCTTGACAGGTATAGAGTGCTGCGATTGGGATGCCTTTAGCGGGCCAGGCCATTTACCCAATCCAACACTATCCACCTCTGGTTGATTGCCAACGGAATTCTGTTTGATAACCGATTTTAATGTAGTTAACACTTGTAAATCTGGACGTTGCTCCTCTACAAAGTTACCTTCTAGTAGCTCTTGTGAATGGTTTCTTTTCACGCATCCCGGTCGAATGTCTTGAGGTAGTTTTGTTGTGAGACTTGTCACGGGAGTAAGTTCTTCCCAGTCATATCTGTCAGTCCACTGAATTTCATGTTCAGTAAGCCAAGAGATCAAACTTTGTTTAAGCAGATCATAATCTGGTCGACTGTGATACTCCAATCGGTGCAGATGTGACATCCAACATTCAGCTATGGAAAGATGAATACCGGCTTTTAGAGCCATTTCTTTGTGATCCAGAGCCGCTTTCATCTGACCGACCAAATCTTTATCACGAATGCGTCTCCATGGGAGTTGTCCGCAAACAAATTCAATCAACATGTAGTAAAGGGACCACAAGTCATCTCGGCGACCCAAATCTCGATGTTCGTGAGCATGAACTGAGGCATACCGGACAGTTCCACGAAACCCGGCCACCGGCCTTGGGTTTCTAACCTCCGAACCGGGTCCGGCAACTGTGTACGGTCGGGCCAAACCAAAATCAAGGATAGTCACCTGAAGTCGATCTTCTAGTCGTCGTCTTTGGATAGTAAAATTCGAAGGCTTTACATCTCGATGGAGGAATCCGGCATCGTGAAGGGTTTTGAGCGAATCCAGGCACTGAATCGTCAAACGAAAAGCCGTACTCGAAGAGAACACCCCGGTGGATAGACCACGTCTGAGTTCGGCTAAATTTTTACCCTAAAAAAGGTAGACAGTGGTTGGTTGCAGCGTAATTTCTGGCTGTATTAGGGCAAAGGTCATAAGAGATTACATTTAATCTACCACAATTCATCTTCAATGATTCTCATCAGCTTCCCAAGAGGAGGAGGTGTGTTAGTTTGGAAAAAATAATTGTCGGTAAAAATTCACGTATCAAGCAATCCGCCGCGGAAATTGAGCGAGAATTCTTCCATACAAAGAAATATTATAATCTTCCGAGTCATCCGTGTGGTTATGATAATAACTGTCAACAGTATAAGAGGCATCACAATGGTCACCGTCTTCATCATAATCCTCATTATTATCTGAGTATTCCCTGTCGCCATCCTGCTCAAAATCTGATTCATCATCTTCTTCATTCGGGTCATCAGTATCAATATCAACTACATCCAAGTTACAAACCTCAAAGGCGTCAACGCAATCCCAACTATCATTCGAGCAACCATAGTGGAAAGAGACATCAGAAAAATCAGCAAAGACATCATCATCGATAATACCATCACAAATCTCCGAGTCAGTGTCATAATAATCATCAGGATAATCATTGTAAACATCGCTGTCATTGTCATCAACATCATAAACAATATAAATATCATGATGAACATTAACGTCACAAACACCATTCATATCATCATCATCATCATCATCATCATCATCATCATCATCATCATCATCATCATCATCATCATCATCATCATCANTAAATATCATGATGAACATTAACGTCACAAACACCATTCATATCATCATCATCATCATCATCATCATCATTATTATTATTATCATCCGAAAAAGCATCATCAACATCGTTATCATCATCATTATCCGAAACATATGCATCAACATGATTATCATCATCATCATCATCATTAACATCATCATCACCGGTATCATCAACATCATCAACGTACACATCATCATCATCATCATCATCATCCTAATCATCATCATTTTCGTCATCATCCGAATCATCGCCCTTGACGAAGCCCACAGATGATCTGTCACCAATGATATGGAATTCAAAGTTACCAAATGTAATGTTTTATCACTACATCACCCTGGTCGTTATTCCTATACTCTCGGACATGAAACTCTGCCTCATGCTTCTTTCGAGAAGGATCTGGGAGTGGTCATTCGTGCAAACTTGAGTTGCTCCACAAACTGTTCCACGGCATCATCCATGGCGGTAAAAATGGTTAGACTGCTTAAACATGTTTTTGGATCGTTTGAATCGATTTAGTTTCCACGTCTGTTAACCACATATATCCGTCCCAACACCGAGTACTCAATTCAGGCCTGGAACCCATGGCTGCAGCGGAATCAGAAGGCAGTCGAACATCCGCAGAGAATGGCTACCAAGATGGTCAAAGGTCTACATTCCAAGACCTATGGCGAAAGATTACAGCTCTTGGAGCTATACTCGTCTCAATATCGTCAAATCAGAGACGATATGATCTTACTGTATCGGATTTTCCAAAAGCTCAACCATCCATGTATATCTCTTGGTTCTGTCAACCAATGCTCACCTCAGAGGGCATCTACTGAAGTTGGCACACCAAAAGAGCCGTCTCGACTGCAAACGCCATTCATTTGCAGTGTGTGCAGCAAATGGAGCTCTTTACCACGTGGTCTGTGCACCAACATTAGTATCTTTCAAGTGTCAGCTTGATGGTGCTCTGGCAAACATTATATTTCAACACCCAACTACATAATATATTTTCCTGTGCTTGCCAAAAGCATTGCATAACTCTTTACTTTTATGAACTAACTGTTATCTTGTGAATCGTGTTCCGAAACAAATTGTGAACACCCTATGGGATTTGATAGGCAAAGTCTTTGTAAGCTTTTTCCCATCATAATAATTTTACTTTAAATTAGAATTTGAATCATCCGAAACATGATCACCACCATCATCATCATCATCATCAACATCATCATCGTCATCGTCATCATCTTCGCCATCCCCATCTTCATCCTCCTCCCATCTTTCGGGTCGGTAACGTTTTTCACGACTTATTCATCTTTATTAGGATGATTATCATATTCACGAACGGTATCATCCTCGTCGTCATCGTCAGCCTCATCGTGTGTAGCTTCGAGAGCCTTTCACGTTTTCGTGTCTAAATACTGGATGGTGTAGCTGTTCCCTACCACGAAATGGAAATGCATTGACAATCGTTAAGTAATTCCATTATACATTGGTCGCCGTGCAGTATAATCAGTACCGCGATTGCCATTGCATTGGTGCTATTGCTAATTTATCATAACTTTTGTTCAATAATTTTCTTCTTTACCAAACCGCATCCGTTTGCCACTTCTTCCGACAAGTAACATTCCTCAAAACATTGTATTCGTCACTCGAGAAAATTCCTTGCCTAGTAGCACTGTAAGCAGCTTATCATGATATCAACCGCAGATTCTGAAACCTCGTCCACGTCTCAATCACCCTCACCACGAGGATTTCGATGCAGATGGGTGAACAAGCTTGATTTGCGTGTACAATGGACTTTCTGGAAATCAAAGTCTGCTGCCTATCGGAGACGCCAATTCAGGATACTAGTTTGGTGAGATACTACTCATTTTTGAGTAATTCGCAAAAAGATGCTATCGGCGGTTTCATTTAACGACCAAAATTGGACAAGACCTGTAGAAGCGAATTGCTGCTGTCCGGTATGGTGAATAAGAGAATCCGCATCTAATTGTGAACCGTTCCATCAACTATCATGTGTGCGTGTGGGATTTGGCTTCGAGGCACTTCCTCGGCACATCGATTGACGACGAATCCCGTTCAGTAGGTCAGCGTGGTGTAACATATATATATATATATATATATATATATATAATACAGCCGAAGCTTATGTTTTTGTTCATCATTTCCGCGTATGCAGCGATCAACTGTAGTCCTGACGCACGAAAAGATTAGTTCAATGACAAACTCACCGAACTCATTCGGTGGATCTGAAGCTCCGATTTAGTTGTTTTCGCAGGTGATTCAGGCGCGGAAGTTGGAAAACTGGGAGCATCGAAAGCTTACCTACGCGAAAGCTGTGCTGTACTGCCAGCGAACAAATAACGTTGAACGACTTCTCTAGTTCTGAGTAGATCAGTCTGTTCCTATCCAGCAAAACATCTCCGAAACAGCTCTCAACGGGCGGCAGCATAGAGCTTCAGTTCAACTAGTACTCTAACTCAAATCAACCATACAACAGTAAGCTATCGTTGGGGTGGCTCAGTGCAAAATTGCAGGTTCTATTTATCCACCTGCGTTGAATCAGATCACTCATTAGTTTTGATGCAGTTCACTCTCCGACTCACTGATCACAGTAAAACCTACCAAAAGCGGTTGGTAGACCATCATTCATCTGACCCAATCGTTTCTGCCTGCTATAAATCGGAACTAGGGAAGGAGTCAAAGGCGCTGCAGCGTGGTAGTGTAGATGACCAATGGGATCAGATTAGGCAAGAAATGAGCTCTAAAGCTAGGGTTGTTTGTGGATCTGGGCCTCAAGCCAGTCGGAAGCACTGGGCGTTTGATGAGCCAGTAGCACTGGTAGAGAAAAAGCGGAAAACCAGACCGTCCGGGATCAAAGCGGAGGTATATGGGGTCACATCAGGGAATGGTGAAAGACTGTTCCCAGTGATACGCAACACGAAAGATCGGCGAATCATAGTTACTGAAATAATCTGCGACGAAAGTGAACAAGCTATTCATAGTAGGGAACAACGGCTCGACCGGTGGGCGGGGTACTTCAATGAAAAGTTTAGCCCGTCAGGAGCTAATCAAACTGAATCGTCCGTTGTATTTGAGACTCCGTGGGCAATGTCATGTGAACCTCCTACTGAACCAGAAAGACCCGTCAGACTTCCTTCCACTCTTTCCAAGATGGTAGGCGATGACTTCGTAGATTCCATTACTAACTTCTGCAAAACGTTTGGACGCAAACATGCATTCTATCATTCTAGAGCAAAGCACTGATCGTTCCGATTTTAAGAAGATATCTCGCAACGACTGCGCAAACCTCCGTGGAATAATTTTGATCCCAATCTTCACCAAGGTATTAGCCTCCGTCAAACTTCGATATTTGACACCACTCAAGGAGACAAATATAAGCGAATAACAAGCAGGATTTCGACTAGGTTTCGTTTGTATTGACCAAATCTTGATACTGCTTCAGAGGTTTGAGCTGTGACACACACACCGTCGACAAACGACGGCAGTGCTCCTGGACATGAAAATAGCCTTCGACTCAGTTGATCGTGAATACCTTATGGGTTTGCTCCTTCGCAAAGGAATGCCGCAGAAGTATGTGAACATAATGAGGTCCCTCTGACCGCTAATTTCTGGTAGCGTAAGGGTCTACGGCTAGCTGAGTGGGGCGTTCGAAACTAGCAGCGATGTTTTGTCAAGGATGCCCCATTTTGACATTCCTGTTCGATTTCGTCGTAGACGAAATACTGCAGAAAGCACTAAGTGGTCTAAAAATATGCTAGTATTGAATAAGCAGCTGGAGAAAAGCTGCTCGACCTAGAGTACGCCGAGGACATCGAAAGTTCCACTGTATGGGGACTGCACAAAGCGCGCTTGACAGACGAGCAAGTTCTGTTGCTCCGTTCGGCATGCACTTTACACCTTCAACGTGCAAAGTGATGCTGCAAGACTGAAGTTCCAGACTCTGTGGTCTCATTCTGTGTATACTCATTTACTTATTCCTGTGGAACAACGTACATAGGCAGCATGCTCAGGTGCTTGTCCGAACGGATTCGTGGACATTACCTGCGTGACCGGACACTGTAATGATTAAGTCACTCAGCAGTGCCGAAACAAATCACACTGTGGGCGTGTCCGAAGCTTTTCGACCGCTGCATAATGTTCGTGGGCGATTATCGAGGCAGGTTCGCTGTTGGATGCTGACTACGGC